TTAAGCTTTAATTCAAAGTTTTTCATTATGATCTCCATTTTAATATTCTTGCTTTGTAACAGTTAAATAGGTGGAAAGATGTTAGGTACCAAATCTTTATATCTTGTCTAGATAAGCTTTACTTAATACTTCGATGGGTTGGGTAATTGCGATCGAAGATTCGGAAATGTTATTAATTCCATCTTCCATATTTGAGAAATATTAAAGATTAAAACAAGTAAGAAAACTATAATGGGCTCTGCTCCGGCCGATCACGAAAAACCCTACACCATCCTTCAATCATACATACTTAATACGAGAAGTGGTCGAAAAAGTGGTCTTGTCGGTACCATTTTCAATAAGGTTCACCCAAAACACGTCGATGTAACAGATTTCATCACAATTTCTCATAAGTTGCGTCCTGTGCGTTGAAAACAAGAAAACATGGCGGACAGACTCTGAATTGACCTGTATAGTAATATGGTCTATCTCAAGTCCTTCTAGATATTGCATACATCCGCATGAACTTACTATACCCTTGTAGCACAAGCATTGTGGGGTATAACAAAATTTTCCATAGCTCACAAACTTGGAAAATACTTTGGCAGAACATGTCAGCAGCCTAATCTCCCCTCAGAAACGTCAAACATATTTTGCTTATGCGTCCATAACATGCAGACGAGTTTTTTATTGCAGATCCTTCAAATCTCTTCAAAAAGTCGGTATCGCTGACATAATTACTGCAATTAGAAGGAAGCAAGTCCCATAAATAAAACTACGTTTGTAAAAAGAAACTTTTTTATCCATAGTTGATGAACTTTCGAGATTCATCGTAAACCTAGGAAGGTATATGTTGCGTTGAAATTTAATATTTGCATATAAAATGGTAAGGTCAATGAACTCTTGCTGTCAGCTGCACCGTCTGTGGCACTTAAACGTATAAATTTAATCATGCAGTTCATTAACTTTAAACTGTAAAAACTAATAAGACTGTAATACAAAAACAGTTTTTAAAATTTTTATGGTCATTACTACGTTAATATGGGCATGGAAATGAAAATTTTATAATCATATTATACATCTATACCCAGATGTAACAGATGCACCCACAAGTAATCAATTATTTTTAAATCTAAAATATTGTTATGAAATTCGCTTTTCTAAGATAGGACTCGTACCACTAGATCGTGAATATTCTTTTCAAGAGAAATACGCTTCACATTTTCACTGCAAGACTCTTTTATTTACAATTAATTTGTTTTAGGCTAGAACTATTTACATATTATTTGGGTAGCACTCTCGTCTTCTCAACTCTAATATTCTTTTTCGACTTAAATGTTCTTGTCCGACTCAGTCTGCCTTCCGTAAATATTCTATTTATATACATTTTTACGAGCATATTATTATTACATAATTTCATGGCTTCATTTTTAATCCGTTAACTTGCTTTTCGGGTAATTGTTTTCCTTGGTTGGTAGCTGCATGACGCGCCTACAAATGTGCATTTGGTTTTTCCTTGTCTGCTTTTCCGCTAATCTTTTTCATCGCCCGGCAGCTGCGTAACGTGCATTTGGTTTTCCCCTCTCTAAAGAATTGATTTTTTGGGAAAATTAATTTTTCGGAATGAACTGGATTTAGGATTTCCTTAACAAATGTATATACTTAAGTTTTTATTTCCTAATTTATTATATTGTGATCAATCATAACGCAGCACAGTTTACCATCTTTCAAATTCTTTCTTATATAAATTCAGATTTCGTGAAACAACAAGGACTCAAGGTGCCTCCTTGATAATTTAGAATGGTTGCTATTACGTTTTGACTTACATATAGCCATTGCTTGAAACGCTTTATGTCATCATAAAGAACCTATTTTTTATCTACGGCAACGATGCTACTAAGAACTGGAAATTTTCGAAAACTGGATTACAATTAAGTGCAAATTGATCGACAAATACACTTGTTCCTGGCTCAGATAATTGATGTGCTACCCATATTCCTTGCCTATATGCCTTCATGCAGATATCTTTTACCACAAATTTTAGGCTGCGATTATCAAATTGAACTACTCCTCCATTTTGAGGCTTATCAGAGAGATTGTAATCATTAGGCAGCCCTCCTGAACGAACATTGACACTTATTCATCGTTAATACATCTCCATAAATGTTGCAAATGTAAATAAAAAGTATGTATTCTCGGAAGATATGGAAGTCCTTTTATTACAGTGTTCTACACGTACTGTCTCACTGAAAACTGTAAAAGAGTAGCATCATCAATCGGCGCAGATCTAACGACAAAAGAAATACTTTGCAAATAATTTATTACTCATGGAGATAATTTAGAAAATTTTGCTGCAACCACATGTTCGCAAAAACATGGACTCGAGAGCGTAGGATTAAAAAACTTTATCATTGAATTACCGTTATGGCTAATAAAAACGTGTTTTCGAATTTTAAATACTCATTAGTACCACGTCTTGCTATATAGTTTTTTCTAAAGTCGTTACAAATTCTGGACTCAATTATCTGGAGAGTAATCACATAAGTGAGAGTGAACTTTCGTTCCGTAAACCGATAACTGATAAACGTTTTTGTCCTGACCACGTAAGACTTTCGTGTCATTTTCGTTGCTACCATTCATATGTAGATGAAAAATTAGAAAAAAGAGAGAAATCTTTGTTTATATTTAATTGTGACTTGTCAAAATGCGAAAAATAACAGCTGGTTCTCCCCTTCTGATAAATAAACAAACAAACCAACTAATAATGGACGAATATTTTGTGAATAAATTGGAAAATCAAGATAAAATAAAATTTAGAAAATTATCAATTGATTGTAAGAAAACAGTATGTAAGTGTAGTACCTTTTAGTGCATTTTTCAAACAGACTAAGCTATAAATTATATTATATTTTAGAACAATGGATCTACGCGTCTTTGTCTTCGCGTGTGTTTCACTTGCCGCCGCAAATTCCACACACTGCCTGCTTATGTCGGGGATGTTTGAATTTAATAGACAGAAAAGGCTTTAAATGCATGATATTTATTCCATCTCACTTAACATCTTACATGCTGTGCCTTCAACAATTTGTTATATTCTTCTTCAATAAGAAGAATCGTTAAGCTTTGTTTAAGTTGCTATTGTTTTTAATTTAACTAGCTGTCCAAGATATGATCGGCAAACGTTAACAATAAGTGCACATTAAAACACAAGTTTATTAAGGTAACGTGCGGACGCTTTCAAGAGATCATCCAACAATTATTAGGGGAACAAAACCGATCAATAAGGAAGTTAAATCTTTTATGTTTCTACTCTAATTTTTTTTTTGCTAATTTCAGTTTTTTTTTTTTTACATGTATATTAGGCACATGGTATATATGCGTATATTAATTCTAATTATGAAAAATATTAAGTAGTCAAATAAAAATAATAAAAAACTTATTTATATTATTTAGTTTATCCTGTGTTATCATCGCAATATTCATACTCCTATGGTATATCAGTTATTTAAATCGATTCCGACACTCAATTAAATGGCTATCATATGAATTAACGCGTTATAATAGCACGCAGGCATATGTACAGGTACGATATTTCCACAGGAAGTAGGCTGCCTTATAGCACAGTCAAAAGAAGTCAAATGTTAGCCTGCCGACAATATGCACAATATGTAGAACTTTTTACTTATAATATTCTGTAAAAAAAAAGGTACATCACGTAACAATTTATCAAAAATACTTTTTATTTATGCTTAACAATGCCTAACAATACTTAATTTTGCTTAATTTTGCCACATTTAAGCTAATTTTGCTAAGTTTAAGTGAAGATTGGTTAAGGTTGGTTCAGATTGGTTAACTTCGACATGCTTGAACAAAATAGAGGGATAAAAGAATAACAGAATTACACAATTTGTAAAAGAACGAAATAAGTGAACATTTGAATAACATAATAATAGCATATAATAATGAAATACTACAAAAATTGACTTATATATATTTTTCTTTTCGCCTTCTGTAAATTAAAATTCATTTATTCTCTTTAATGTAAATATTATTTGTTCTTAGTAATTAACTTTAATTAGTTCATACTTCCGAGCAGTATGATTTAGCTAATGCTTGTATCATCTTCCAGTCCAAATGTTTATTTTTATTAGGTGTTTACATGCAACAACTTCTACAGGTAAAAATAACCGTTGAATTCGATGGTTTTAATTTTTTTCTACTTTTTAGTGTCAAAGAGTTACTCAGTGTATATTGGCGCTAATTATAAAGCGTTCAAAATTCTTCTTCTTCCAAACTCATTACTTCTGTTGCTTATTTGAAGAAATCTGCTTTTAAAGCCCACAAAAGACGTTCAGAATTAAGGTAATGGTGCTCCATTATATTCCATTTGCCAGTTTTAGTTCCAACGGTTTAAAAGTTCTTTTTGGCCACTTCTTTCGAGAGTTGTGTAAGATGCACTGTTGTAGCTCAAATGGCAGGTTCTGTCGCATCCGGCGCACTCACCAGACATGGCACCTCCTGATCAGATCTGTGCGGCATGGCTTGACCGGCAGGCAGATCCTTATAGTTGAAGAAGTACGAAAATAATGTCGCCATGTTGCTATTTTGATTAATATATATTGAGTCCATTTCCACAATAAATGCCTCCTTCAAGTGAAGAAATGGTCGAAATACATGGTAAAACCTATTATTATTATTATTATTATTATAAATTTAGCCAGAGAATAAATTCTAAGACTAAAGTCTTAAAGCACTAGCATCTAGGGCTATCGGCTTTTATTAAAAAACTCTACCGCACTTGAAGTTTGAACCCACGACTATTGAAGTTGCTAGTCGAGACTCTTGCATGGTAAAACGTAACATATTAGTTTGATTTAAATTTCTTTGGTAGCAGAAAAAAGTTTTGAAGTCATTGCACAGTGAATATCAATTTTGTGTCTCACTTATTTTCCCCTTATGTCGCTGTATCACTTGATTACGAGAAGAACTCAGCACATAAAAAAATCAAAAGCAGATGTTTTTGTTTTCCATTTTTTGTTGCAAAGGTGTTATATTTAGCATGATTAGAAACTGTCAATATATACAAGCTAATTAAATTCAATATAATTTAGTAGAATCAAATATGAATTCCCCTTCGGATAATGAAGAAATCAATGAGGAAATCGTACAAATTTTAAAGCAAAAATGGGTAATTAGCAATAAGAGAATTCCAAAAACCTGGTTACTGATTTATATCTTATTTTGCAAGACTTTAAGTGAAGAGGATCTCAAGCGGCAGTTCACTAAAGCCGAATTAAAAAAGTTGTGTTTAAAACGTAAATGCCGAGTGGACATGTGGAAATGGAATCCGGTAAATGAAATGCATGAAAAGCTTGTAAAAGATGGACGCTTTAAGCAACGTCCAACCGGCTATTGTTTACGTTTAACAGCTAAAGGAGTTAATAAATACAAGCACAAAATAATGTACGACCGCAAAATTATAAAAAAGGCGCGAGAGGAAGATCGGCGTGATCAATTAAAGAATAGCATTTTGAGTTTAGGAATGTGGTTGGCGGAGGAAAAAGAAAAACAACAAGATGAAGAGCTACGCCCAATAGAAGAACATTTCGTTGAGAATGAAGAAGTCCAGGATGAAGTAGGAGACTTTGGACGTCGTGACAATGAAGTGCCTAGCAGCAGTAAAAGAACATCCGAGTTTAGTACGGATGACATTAGACGAGAAATAGGTGAGACGTTGGACGTTGACACAGAATCAATGTCGCTTAATACTTCAGATCTCTTAGACTCGGAATCCATTTCTGCACCAACAAATTATGTTGAGTCTAATGATAAAATACGAGTGACTTCGACTTAAGAAATTGCATTTGCGAAAGCAACGCTATTTTGAACCACATTTTGGATATATGTGAGCACGGTAATTTAAAACGAGCTGATCTTCTTTATCAATCAGATAAATAAAATATTGTTTATAGTAAAATTCGTTTCTTAAAATTGTCTTGGCGAAGGTCATGTTAAATTCTTCCAAAACTTTTATTGGTAGATAATTTTAACTGGAAGTACTTAGAATTACCACGTATTCTCCGAACGGCACCTTGTGTGTTTTTTTCAATGTCGCTAATGATCTTGCAAAAGCATTGCTCACTACTGTACATTCCCGATTATAAGAAGCACGACATTCCTGATGAGCAGCTAAGATATGTAATTTACAAAAATGCATCAGGACTTTTCAAACGTCATAGTGCCCATGACGGCACATCGGCACGATGCGATGCCCACGTTTACTAATAACCATAAATGCTCGCTTATAACAGTTAACACATCTTGCCATTGCTTGGACTCCGCTTTAAGCGAGTTTTCGCTTTCTAAGCAAATATCCATGTGAGAGATTTTTGTTTTGTAAAGTAGCGAAGAAAGTTTTGAATGCATACATTTACGCGCCTATCACGGTACCTCAAAGGTGGTGTGGAAAACCGTGCTTATGTGCGTATGTGATGCTTGTTACGAAAATGTTGCTTTAAATTCCCAAAACTATTTACTTCTTCACGACACAGGTAACACTTAAGAATGAAATTTTCGGCAAGACATCATATTTTCCTTCGTTCGGTAATTGTGGACACTGTGAGGCGTTCGTTCATTCTGCTTGCGGCTGAGACATCTTTGAAATTTTGAAATCTGAATCATTAATTGATGAATAATAATACTTCGAGTCAGAACATTGTATTTCAGTTATTTTAGCTACTAGTGCCTTCTATGTGTTTACATTGACAGCATTTTCCGCCAAAGTGGCGATTACATCAGTTGTCCTTAATCCTGTCTCTTTAAATTTAAACTTTCGCCTTCTTTTATTTTCCCGTGTAGCATGCATGTTGGAAGACTTGCCAACTTTTTCAAGTTCATCGAAAACCTCGTTTGACGGGCGTAACGGATTCGTTGTCACTTTTGCTTATGGGATAGTCAAAACCTCTTTTATATTATTGTTTAATTAATGATCTTCAACATCAACCCCGTACTTTAAATAAGTTTTCTTCGCTTTTGTGAAAAACGCTTCTAAAGAACTGAATCAATTGATCAGCTGAATAGATGCCGCTTGTACAAAAACTTTGACGCCGCGCAGTTCTCTGTCGTAATTTAATATTATTATTTTTAAGCGTTAAAAGAACTTATGCTCTTGCATTGTGCATTACGCACTCCAAAGGGCAAAATATAAATTGTATTACTGTGTTTTAAGCATTAAGAGCACAGAACGTGCGCACCGCTAGTGATGCAGTACGTTGAACATACAGAACATATGGTTTGTTTGCATTCCTGCACCAAAATCATATGGTTTGAAAACTGGTCATACCAGTACATTTTGTTCATATAAAAATAGTAAAATAAGAAAAATTTTTTTTGGAACTTGGTTTTTGTCGAGAGTAAGACAATTGTAATAGCTTTTCGTAAGTGTTTACAATGTTATAATATATATAATTAACTGATAATCGAAATTTTATTAAAAATGGATATCCCAGTTCTCAGTTCATTTATTACTTTATATGTTTGCAGCTAACTTAAAATTTTCCAATCGATTTGCATTGCTGCAATAATACAATGCATCCATACATAAAAATGTAGAAGCGATGTATATTTTGCCATTTGGTTGCATGATGCACAAGACCAAAGCATTTATGCTACTAATGCTTTAATTCTATGTGTTGGAACCATTTTAAGATAAAATCAACTCTGCGTGGAACAATCATTGAATGTGTTTTTATACATTTCACGTGTTTAACTAATATAACGTTTGCATCGTTATATTAAATAAAGCATAAATAATAATAATAACCGTTTAATTTAGAAGATTAATATATAATATGGATCTAATAGCTACTATAGAGGAGGATGCCGAAGTGGAAAACTTATCTGAAAATTCGGATGTTGAAATAGAATATCAACCTACTAAACTAAAACAAAAAAAAATTACCGAATTTGAGAAAGGTTTTGAATTTGTGTCTTCGGTAAAGGAATACAATCAGGATACTTGGGATGATTTAATGAAATATGTTAAACGTAAAGCGCGCACAAAAACTGATGATAAAATTGCAGAACGTTTAAAGAAACGCACAACAGACAACATTCAACAGGATGATGGGGTAGAGGAAACGGATGGTGAGATACCATTGTCGGATGATGAACTGAAACATGATAATTTACGTTTGCGAGAAAAGAAGCAAATTAAAAAAAAACAAAAAAGCAAGAGCAGTAACGATGTCGATCATCCTGCTGACGACGAAGAAGAGGGTGAAAAAATGAAATTCGAGGAGTCTGTAGAAAGCAATGAGTCTATTACATCGTTTTATCAAATGAATTTATCGCGTCCTTTGATGCGAGCTATAGGGGTGTTAGGTTATATATATCCAACACCTATACAAGCGTCCACAATACCAATCGCTATGTTGGGTCGTGATATATGCGGCTGTGCAGCTACGGGTACAGGTAAGATTACATATTATATTTCAAGCAAAGCACTTGTATTATTATTATTATTATCTATTATTACAGGTAAAACGGCTGCTTATATGTTGCCTACCCTAGAACGTTTACTGTATCGTCCTATGAACAATAGAACGATAACAAGAGTTCTGGTTTTGGTGCCTACGCGCGAATTGGGGGCTCAAGTTTATCAAGTCACCAAGCAATTATGTCAATTCACCAGCATTGATGTGGGTCTTGCTATCGGTGGCTTGGATGTTAAAGCTCAGGAATTGGTATTAAGACAAAATCCTGACATTGTGATTGCCACACCGGGCCGCCTAATTGACCATATTAAAAACACTCCAAGTTTTAGTTTGGATTCTATAGAGGTTAGTGTGATTTTTAGAAGGTTTCGCGTTTGGCTAGCGTTAGACATTGATGATATCCTTGCGCTCTGATTCAAGACGAGGAATATTTTTATGCATATAAGCCTGAGGTTTTACAACTGAGTATTGCACACCTTTTATATGTATTTAAGACAGTTTGGGACAACATTGGAATAAAAAATGTACTTTATTTTCACTTAAGGTTTTGATACTTGATGAAGCTGATCGTATGCTGGATGAATATTTCGCTGAGCAAATGAAAGAAATTATTAACTCTTGTGCGAAAACTCGGCAGACTATGTTGTTCTCAGCTACTATGAGTGAACAAGTTAAAGATTTGGCTGCTGTCTCGTTGAACAAACCCGTAAAAGTTTTTGTTAACAATAATCAGCAAGTGGCTTTCAATTTGCGCCAAGAATTTATACGTATTCGTGAAGACAAAGAAGGTGATCGCGAACCAATTTTGGCCAGTTTAATATGTCGCACTTTTCATGACCATTGCATGATTTTTGTGCAAACAAAAAAGCAAGCACATCGTCTTCATATATTGTTGGGTTTATTAGGCATTAAGGCGGGTGAATTACATGGCAATCTGACACAACAACAACGCCTTGAGTCACTTAAGAAATTTAAGGACGAGCAAATCGATGTGCTGATAGCTACTGATGTGGCTGCCAGAGGTTTAGATATTGTCGGTGTCAAGACGGTTATTAACTTTGTGATGCCAATAACAACCGAACACTATATACATCGTGTAGGACGTACGGCTCGAGCGGGACGTGCGGGCATTTCGGTTTCGTTAGCCGGTGAAAAGGAACGTAAAATAGTTAAAGACGTTATCAAAAATGCTGAAGGTTCCATTAAAAATCGTATAATACCACCAGAAATTATAGAAAAGTATCGCAGAAAGTTAACTGCTTTGGAAGCAGAAATACGTGAGTGATGTTTTTTTGATTGCAAAACAATTTACAGAAAATAAAATTTGTTTTCAATTTAGAACACATTTTGGATGAAGAACAATATGAGCGACAGTTGGCAAAAGCAGAACAGCAATTATCCAAAACGGAACGAAAGCTTTTAGCCAATCAACCCAACGAAAAACGCCAATGGTTCCAGACTAAAAAACAAAGAGAAGAGGAAAAGGTACGCTTGCAGGTAACACCCAACGACAATACGTCAAAGACACTTAAGAAAGGGAAAGGATCTAAACGCCCGGTGTATGGTGGAGATGGAGAAGATGGACCTCCGGTTAAGGAACTTAAATCAAAGAAAAAGAAACCGGACATAAAGCCAAAAACACCTGAACAATTGGCTAAAGAAAGAGCGTTAAAAGAAATTGAGAAAGTCTCTTTGGTTAGAGCTAAAATGTCTAAACTACGGCAGCGTGCTTCCAAATTAGGGGCCACGACGGAAGGTAGCAAACTTGATAATAATGCTGGATTAAATAATAGGCAAAAGTCGAAACGTCATGGTCATTCGGCCTTTACCAATGATCTCACCGATGTAAGCCGTAGTGGAGCCTTACGCTTAAGATCGGAGGCTAATCGCCATAAGAAAATGACAAAATTAGCTGCTAAGAAAAAAATCAGCACAGTGAAACTGACGAATAAGTCAGGCCAAAATAAATTTAACAAAGGTAAAAATTTCGGTGGCCCTAGATTTGCAAAAAAAGAGAAACATAAAAGGAAATGATGGGACACAATATGTGGAGTAAATTATTTTTTACAAAATTTATTGAATAAAAGTTCGTAAATTCGGAGTCAGAAGTGTTTAACTGAATAAAAGTTACGTAAAAATAACATTACACATATAATAAATAGGGGAGTACTATATTTTCGGCTGAACGCTGCGAGTACTCAGCCTCAAAAGAAATTCCTTATAATAGCAGACAGTAAATCTGTTTTATCAGCTTTATAACCATTTTCCTTAGGTAAAACTTATCTTCACATATTAGAAATCAAATCCTTACTTTATAGCTTCAAATCTGATACATTTTATTTTCATTTTCTTTGGCTGCCCAGCCACATGAGCAATCTTGGCAACAACACTGCAGATAAAAGTCCATCTTCCAGACTATCTAATTTTAATGATCGTGCCGTGATTCCTGAAGATCTGAGGACAATCGAAAAAAATCATTTAATTTTTTCTTAGCAACAGCGAAGGTATAACTCACCTTATGTTCGTCATTTGTACTCCTTACTTCCGCAAATAAATAAAGTCCCTTTGTTTATCAATTGCTAACTTAGGCGTGACACTATTTGTCTTATTAATAGACTAATGTTCAATCACGCGAGATGCAATAATCATCTATTCAAAATTAACATAGTAAACAACTCTTTATGTACATGTGGAGTCTTACAATCTCCTGATCATATCCTATTTGTCTGCCCGAATATTTCCACTTCCATTCACCATCCCTCACTTCGCAAATAGTATAAGTAGTTTTCGTGACCACAGAATTCTTGATATTTTTCTCACAGTTCAACAGCTCACGTCGCAATCTTTTCCTTTTTTAAAGACATTAAGACATATAAGCATTTACAGTCAATTTCTTTTCCAATTTTTGCTCTCACGCCTATCAACTTCTTCGTATATCTTTTAAACTAATCTATTATATTACATCTTACACATCGGAATTTACTCTTTCTTTTGTTCTATCCCACGTGACGGACGTGTAATAGGCATATTTTAATTAATACTATAAAAAAGAAATAACATGGCGGACGTATAACGCGCAAAATTAAATTAAAATATCTTTCATCAAATAATCACTAAAATAAACATATAATAACATCATATACAAAACTTAACTCCAACTTTACTGGGTCCCAAACAAAAAACTCTGCGTTCACATTGGGCCATTTACCACATCTCAGCGAATTTTCCGTTATTAATTCGCTGAATAACAAAAGAAGAAGAAGAATAACAAATGATAGGAAATGTTTCCAGTTGTTCCATTTTGTTTTATATTCGAACAGAACATTATATTTTAGTCGTATCGTTAACGTTGCGAATGTCGTAAACAGTCTCTCTTGTTGAGCGTTTTCTTCATATCGTGAAAGGGTTGCAATTTCTGACAATTCTTGATTGAGTTGAACGATTTCCTTTATGCTTCGTCTTGGTTGAAGTTGCTGATGGTGGAATCCACGGTCGAAATTTAATTTCTAAAAAGATGATACTGTTCATTTCTCGTAATCAATTCAATAGCGCTGGACATTTTCTCAAGAAAGTTAATATAGAAAAGAAAGCTGATGGTAACTATAGGAACCACCAATATGGTTACCAATAAAGTTAGTTCAATTTCAGTTCGACAGATAGTTTCAACATTTCTGCGTAAGTGGACTTGTTATGTCCCGTTGATGTTACTTAGAAAATGGCTGTTATTGGTCCAATAACTACTGTGTGGGTAGTCGCTAGTTAATTATATTTTCTTTTTATAAGGTTTAACTCCTTCTTCTTCTGTTATTCAGCGAATTAATATTTGTTTGGCAGTTTTGTCAATGTGAGCTGCTGAGGAAAGTTTCGAGTATGGAACAAAGACTCAAAAGTGCAAGGTTTTAACGAAAGGAATAGAAGAACCATAGTTGAGCAGACGAGTGACCGTTTTTTTTGAAAAGACTGAGCATTTGTTTTTATTAACCGAGTTGCAGTGCTTCAAGGCGGGAGGAAATAATGTCGAGGGTAGATTGCAAATTGCGCCTACACCAGTCTGGATCGGAGTTGACACTATGGCACAGGAAGGGCAGAGTGAAGTGATTGCTCATGCGTCAAACACATTTCTCAATTTAGTAGAATCACTTTCTTCCTTTCGTACACCATAAGGCATAACATAGCTCGGGTCGAGTATAGTTTTAGGATCAACTCCTCTCATGTGGCCTAAAATTTGGTATTCGACCATGAATTTGGTGTAGTGTGTTTTTAACTTTTCGTCGTTAACTAACCGCCGCTTAGTTTCACTGTGAATCACTTATTACGTAAAAGGTGCTTTGCGCTACAATTTTCACGGCAAGTACGTCGGACCGAATTCTAGCCCTACTCCGATTTATAAAAAAGTCTTACCTTACATATAAGATTTCCTTCGGCAGATACTGTACACGTAAGTCGCTTAATGGTAAAGATGTCCTGACTTCTTTGTTTTTATGAAATCTACATTTCCGAAGGATTACAACAATGAAGGCCAAAATTAACGCCGTATATCCCGCCGTAAAACTGTGATATCTATCTTCTTAGAATTCGGCAGAGGATCGGGATTAATAATTGATAATCTGAATCACTTTTTGAATCGATTTAAGTTTGTCTTTCTGCCTTGTTTTCTTGGGTGCAATCCACAGGCCGCAGGTGTTGAAGATGGTTCGAGCCGGACCACTTTCTCGACCACTTCCCTTGTAACACTTTTCAATATTTCATTACTTCATTAATCTTAGTCAACGTAAATGTAATTATGAGTTACTTAACCCGTTCAGAGTTGTTTGCAGAGAATTAAACGATGTCTACCAATTAATCTTTATATCGGACCCTTTAAATAAAAAAAACGCCTTATTCGTTGTATGATTGGCTGTAGGGTGGCTGTGACTCATTATGGCAGGGGTCGGCAATCTATGACCCGCGCGTCACCGAGTAACGCATTCGATAATTTCAAGTGACCCAATTTAGTTTCGAAAATAAAAAATATAATATATCAAATAAAAAAAAAAAAATTCAAACTAGATACTAAGAACAACATTTCAGTTCGATTACCATGGATCTTATACACATTAGTATTTATGTAACAGGAATAGGTTGACTAGCGAAAATACAAAAGCTTCGGCTCATCCTAAAACAACTAACTGTAAACCAGACTTGACTAAATTGACGTCCCAAGTTCAGCATCAGGAGGGCCATCGACATCGAAGAGAACGTTTACAAATAAAGTTCATTCAACTATTTTTGTAATTATTTTCTTAATAAAATATAACTTAGTATTTATTAAAAGAC